CCCTACATGCCAAAGCCATCAGTACTGCAGCTCACATTTCTGATGTTTCTGGCACAGTGTTTTAAGAGCATCTTGAGTTTTCTCCCCTGAGCTGAGCTCTAAATCCCCTTTCATAAGGTGGCCCCCCTCAAATCTGTAGGTATCACCCCCCAAGAAAGTATAACATTCTTCCAGTTTTCATCTAGCACCATCCCCTGCTCAGAGCACAATTCATCCCCACGCAGCAGCTGATCTCCAGCTGACACAAGTCTGCAGCTCAAGTGGGAAAAGAGCTCAGTGCTCATTCTCTGGTGACAACCCAAAGTGAAGGGATCTCCCTTGGGCTTTGTCTCTGAGAGTCAAGACAGGGATTTTTCCAGGGCCAAGCAGGAAACAAATAGAAAAGCGAAAGTCTGGATTTTTGTCATTCCCTTGCTTGAGTGCAAATAAACCTCCCCAAGTCTTGTCTTGCAGCAGGTTACAACAGGGGATGCAGAGGGAGCATACCTAGGTATCACAAGGTCACCTGCACATGCTTTCCTCACCTGCAGAACAAAGATCTGCACAAATCAGGTACCAATTACTCCCCACTAACCTGGAGAGCAAACCAGTAGCAGCTCAGCATCCTTCAGAGTGCCCTTGCAGAAGTGCTAGGAGACACAGACACAGGCAACCCACAGCTTTACAATTCATTCACAAGACATAGAGGGATCTTTTCTCTGCCTCTAGGCTGAAGTGCCATTGGTGGAGAAAATTGTGTCTGCCCTCCAACAAACCCAGAGTGCCCATTTATAGTAGGTGTGACATGACTTGAACTGTAGTCAGTGAAACACCCAAAGACTGCCAGGAAGAAAAAGGGTCAAAGAAACTCATTCTAGCCAGGCTATAAACAGCGCCAGACCCCAAGGCTTATGAGAGGCAGCACCGCCACGCCGGCTGGAGGATGACAACAGAGCCCAGCAGAAAGGCTTCATTCATCCCTTTGCAGACATGCAGTGGACATCAGATGAGAATCAGGGTGAGCTGTGAGTTTGGAGGAATGAGTGGCAATAGGTCGGGCAGAGGCATCTGCACAGAGGATTTTGCTTGTGCCTTTTATTGAACCTGGAAGCAAATAATATCTGCCTCCTCGTCCCTCTCGGGAGCGGCTGACCACTTTTTCCACCCACTGCTGTTTCCCTTCACCTTCTTCCACGTCCTCCCTTGCCCACTCCTCATTTATTAGGGAGAGAGGACAGCGGGGCTGTGAGCTGCCTGAGAAGTCCTGCAGGGTCTCACAGCCGCAAGCAGATGTGCGTGCCCTGCGAAGAGACGCCCATTCATCTCTGCAGAGAGCGTGCGGGGGAGGCAGCAGCACAGGGGAGGGGGGGGAAGTGTTGGAGGAGGCTGAGAAAAGGAAGGAGGCCACAGTTAAAAATAGGATAAAAGGACATGAAAAAATGCAGATTTTTTTTTTTTTTTTTTTTTTCCCCTAAGCTTCACTTGGAAAATGTGCTGCAGCTGGAGAAGCCATTGGGCTGAGCCTGGTCAGCTTTCACCTTCCCCCTCCCCAGGCTCCCTTCCTCCATGCATGGGCCTGGAAGACAGCCCAGAAAACGCTCACAGAAAGAGCTTCCCTCTGGGGATCTCCATCAGGACCCAGAAGAGTAAAGAGCAGGTCTTGTGGCATAGGAGGACAAGATGGGGAAAAGCAGAGAGAGTCTGCGATGGATGCAGGAGGTCCCCACGTGATTTCTGCCTGCAGTGCACTCCGAGCTGAGAGCAGGGCTTGGGGAAAGATCACAGCCAGAGTTAGGGGGGGTGGGTATAAAGGAGGGCATCTCCACGTGGTGTGGGGCAATGCAATGTGCTGTAGTGCTTTGTTTCAGCTCCAAAGGCTTTGCTTTCTTGCCAAATCCAGCAGGACACTGCTATGGCCCAGCCTGTAGGACCCAAGACAAGATGTCCATCGAGCACCAGCGAGTTGGATGCAGGGCTGCATTAGGGAGACACACCACCCCCATGCTAACAAACCCTTTTTTGTGGGCTGAGAGATAATGTGTCCAGACGATATCAGCCACAGACTGGGTCAAATTGTCCCCTCTGCACTGTGCCTTCCTACAGCCCTGGGTGCTGGGGGTCATCCTATGGTAATGCCTTCTGTATGTCACAGTGTCCTGGTGCCAAAATCTTTCAAAAGCAGCACCAGCCGAAGAAGCAGAGTCAGACCCACAGCTCTCATCTCTCCTCTAGAAAACATTTTAATTTCATTCCTTGTCTTGCAAAATTCAAACTCAAATGCATTTGTTTGAAAGAAGGTGAGTTCACTTGCCAAAGGTTCCTCTTAGTGTCCAAAGGCTGCAAGCACCTTCAGTCCAAGTGTGCTAACTCAGCACAACAATCAGAGCAACTTCTTCCGCCAGAGGCATTTCATCCTTCTCCTGCCATTAACAACAGTTTTATCTCCCCTATCACTAAGCAAAATAAACCAGTTCATAGCGAAAGGGGTTGTCAAAGTGACCTTGGCTCAAAAAACAGCACAGCCAGGACAATGTCAGTGCTGAAATTACGATGCTGCTATCAAATATTTTCCTCCTCTCCATTGTTGTGCCTAAACTTTTATCCACTAAAAAAAAATATTACCAGAGAGTAATATTAAGATACTATTGCCCTAAGAATTGGAAATCCCAGTGCTCAGTGTGACAGCATCTTTTCAGTGCCTTTGCTGCTTCACGCAGACTCACAGCACCCTTGATTTTGGGTCACCAGATAATGCAACTAATGAGCAAGCCTCTACATCCCTATTGCCACAGATGCCAGCTTTCATAGGCAGGCAGTTCTCACTGGTTGTTTTCTAACACCTTTGGGTGAAGCCCTTTTACTTGCTATGGACCCAAACGTAGCTGACTCTCAGGGCAGGCACGGTCCCAACCCATGTACTGCAGGTTGTGACAGCAGGCTGACAAATAAAAATGACTACACACCACTTCCAGTTCTTGTTGTAATAAAAATGTAAAATAAAACCCACCTCTTTTCTTATCCTTATCTACAAACCAAATCCACATCAGGCTTTTCTTTATACATATCACCAAATAATCTTAGCAGACATCAAGCACCATGTAAATAAACTCACCCGAGCTTCAAAGGCAAAATATCTTTCAACAAAGCCAAGCAGTTCTAAAACTTCTAGAAGTGTTGCGGGTTTCTGTTGTGAGAGGATATATTCACACTTGCATTTTCCTTGCTGACTTGTTTCTTTCACCAACATCAAGACCATGAAAACCAAAATAGCCTCCAGTATAGAGAAGAATAGATGACAAATGGCTTTCATGCACACCCAAAACACAAAGGAGAAATGAAAGACTGTTCCTAGCAGTATATACAAATGAGAGTTTCCTCTCATTTAAAATTAGAAACTGCTCTAGACTCTGAAAAAAATGGCAGAGCATTAAAATAATAGTAATAATAAGAGAAAGAGTACCACGCACTGCAACAGGAAGAAATGAAACGTAATTTTTAGGTACTGCAAGAGAATTAGAGGCCTGTCCTACAGTCCCAGTGTATTCCAAGCTGGACTCAAACCTGCTAAAGACAGCGACATCTTTTTTTTTCCAGTGAGCTTTGAACCAGGCTCCAATCTCTGCAGCAAGAAATTTCACAGACCCAGCATGGGGTAATGAAGATGTGGGTTACAGATATGCTGGTCCCTGGAGAGAGCGCTTTCACAGAAAAGGGGAGAGGGTATGGAAAAAAACAAAAACAAAACAACGAAACAACACACAAAGAAAACTTTCCAGGCACAGATTTGCAAAATGTTTGAGCAAATCCAAATGCTGCAAGAGCAGATTTCATCAGAGCAGAGCTGACATCACGCTGAGAGAGGTCACCCACAGGAGTTGAGCAAAATAGCTGAAACAAGAGCGGCTGGGAATAGACAGCGGAGTTTTTCCTCCAGCCACAGCTCTCAGTTCATCTCCAGCTAACACACAAGTGTTCACCAAAGGAAAAAAGTTGAAATGCCTGAATATTTGCCAAGGAGAGATTTCAAATTGTACGTTTGACCGCAACAGTCACTGGTTCTGCTGAACTCTTTAGCTGCAAAGAAGTCTCCAAACATCAGGGCTTTTCCCCTCCCAAGGGGCCAATGTGCATAACTAACAAGCCGGGAACAAGTCACAGAAGACCAGCACATGCCATGCAAAAGCTTACATGGGATTTATGTGCTTCACGATAGGCTTATGTGGGACTTAAGTGAAACATAAACTTCATATTGGCCCTTTGCAAAGGTCACATTCATGCAATTTGAGCTCTTTCACTTCGTTTTGCTGTTGGCCTGTGCCATGGTGTACCTGAGCCCTCCCTTCTGCCACAGAACAGCTGGGAAGCGAGACTTGGTGGCACCTCTTCCCAAAGCTGAATCACTGTGCTGTGGGTAGGGGAAGCCTCCAAGATGTGTGGCACAGGGGCAGCAAACACAGCATGATGCAGTGGAAACAGGGCTTGCACTAAAGCCCAAAACTCTCTGCTCATGTCACACCATTGGGTACAGACCCAGAGCCCTGCACTGTCAGTTACACAAGCAGCAGCCCAAGCTGAAGTTCTGCTTCACAGGTTGAACAAAGTACAGGGCAAGAATTAGTCACCGGTGATTTTGTAACGACTTTCAAAGTATGAGTGCATCGCAGAGCAGCATCATTTAGTCAAAGCCAGGGCATGAGCTTAACTGTAGGCTGTATCGCAACCACCCAACCCTGACAGCAGAGCATGGCCATGCCCTCCACCTGCAGCCATATAGCACTGAATATTGCACCACCGTCCCCAGGAGGAAGGGGACAGAGACCCCAACTCAGTGTAACAGCAGAACTCAGGCTCAGGAGTCCAGGCTCCCCTTCACAGAGGCCTCGTTATCTTTCCAAAGAAACCAGCTCAAGCCCATACACACGAAACCAGGACATTAAAGCAGCCCATCTCCAGGCTGCACCTGCAGGGAGGAGCAGACCGGCCCTCCCCACACTCCACATCCCTCAGAGCAGAGTTCCTACCTGTGCTGTAGTGCTCCAGGCCGGTGGGCACCTCCTGGATGGCCGCCTCGTCCCACGGTGGGCAGCAGGTCCTGGGTGGGCAGCAGGCTGACTGAAGCCTGCACGGCATCCAGGGGTCCTCATAGCAGCTGCCAGCACCTTGCTTCTGGGCAGGGGAGGGAGCTGTGTCACCTCAGCAGCAAAACAAACCCAGAACCAAACCTTCCCTTCCAGGATAAAATCACAAAGTACTTACCTGACCTGGCCCAGAGGCACCCCAGCTGAGCAGCCAGGGGTCAGAAAGCCCCTTATAATATAAGGCATGTCATTCACATACATCATCTGCATCTACTTGTGTGTGCTACATAGGCAGGGAGGTACATGCATTTATCTAGTTCTAGCTACAGCTCTCATTATTGGTATTACACCTCTAAATAATACATATATGCATACAGATACAAGGAAATAATCCCAGGGTATCACTTCCATTATGTACACACACTCATTACATTTATCTTTATAGATATATCCACTGTACATAAATACATACCGTATGTGCACACACAGATAAACCACATTACAGATTTTACACATGTGCCACGTACATGTGTACATCAGTAGAAGAATAGCAACATATGCATACATACAGTCATACACGTAAATAAACTCAGGATGTTTGCATCCATTCTTTTTTCATTGTTAGTTCCCCACATGGAAACAGTTTTGCTTCATTTCCAATCAATGTTTAAATGCCAAATACATTCTTGGAACCATTTAAAAGGAAGATACTGAGCTGTGTTAGACATTTTTCATGTGTCACAGTGGCCTTTCTTCCTAATTTGGTGATAATTTTGCTTTCTAGCAAGTCTTCTGTATCCCCTGGTGTCCCAGCTCAAAGATACAGCTCACATCTGACCTTGTCTAGGGTCTTTAACACTAGCTGTCATTTCTTTGGAGAAACGTCCATTGATGTGATTTCCTCAATAAAGGTCATGTACAAACATAAGGTAACCAGCAGCACAAAGAGCACAGCTCAGGAGCAGCACAACGTACTGTCAGACCTGCCCCACAGCTGCTGATATCCACATAAACATGCCCAGCACTGCATTTTAATCCATATTTTATACAACTGCCCAACAACTGCCCAAACAAAAAGGAGCTGCCATAGAAGAGGAAGCCCAATATTTATCAAAAAACTCCAGCCAACGCAACCGAAGCTTTTCCAAAGCCAGGTCTGCTTTGTGCTGATGCTGCTGCATTCATCCACAGCAGGTGAAGGTCAGCGTGTGGAGCGGAGGCTGCAGGACAATGGTTACCCTAACAATCCTCCTCTGACGACAAGCACAGGAAATCCGATGCAACAATCCTATTTCCAGCTTGGGTTTGCAAGCTCGAGAGGTTGAGATAAGCTCTGAGCAAACACTCAGCCTCTGGATGCCACTCTGAACTACATGGAACCTCAGGATGATTTAGCAGTCAACACCAAGCTGTGTCAGTGAATGGTCTGCCATTGACACAGCAGCCAAAGAGAAAAGCCACTGCTACAGATAGCAAAATAGCCCCCAGCCCCTTCTTACCATCGCTCCAGGGCGAGCCAAAGGATAAGGGCCCGTGTTGCCAATGGCTGTGTCCATGTAGTAACTCATCATCTTTGAGGTGCCTGCAGAAATGAAAGCAGACATCAGATGCTCTGCTGCAGAAGTCTGGCGTGGCATTAAAAATTGACAGCCTCAGTTTGACCTGCTGTAAAGCCCATGCTTTCTCACAGCCATGTAGAGGTAGCACCAGGCTGCCAATCTCAGCAACTTAAGGTAGGAAAAGTAAAAGGGAAAAAAAACTGCATTAATAATTGGTTTTGTGATTGGATGCGTATATACATCAACGATGGAAACAAATCCATTTGTGTAAACTGGTGGGAGCTGGACAGTGCTGAATGAATTATCACCTAGAAGCTGATGGAGCTGCTGAGAGGGTGGATGAGATCATATTTCCCTTACTGTAAAATTGATAGGGAATAGTCGCCATTTTCCCCCCTTCCAATTCATTGAGATCAACAAATTTCCTATGGAAGTTTCATCAGCACCAACCCATTTCACCAAAAAAAAAAAAAACCTTCTCTTTACTCAAGAAAAATCTTCTGTTTGCCTACACTGTCATTGGTTCTCTGTGCTGGAACTCTCCCTTGCACTGCTGAAATCCAGGTTCTCATTCTCTCATTCCTATCATGGGATGTACTCTTCTGAGCAAGTCCTCCCACCAGTGCTGCTCGCTAGATGCAGTTGTAAGCCACTAGTTAGCCCATGTGCATAGCTGAGGTCTAGCTCTGTCTCGTAATAGGTAGATGCTTCTCATCCTCTCCTTCAAACACACAACAGAGAACGCAGAATGCACGTTCTGTGTTTGGAAGGATATAACTTAAAGGTGCTGGAAAGAAAAACGGCAGTGGCCTGAGCTCAGAAGGGCTCACTCAGGCAGGGTACAACAACTTGGGACCAAAGGGAATCACTTCTCTCATCACATTGATACACAGCATCGCCCAAAAGCCAGAGGAGCTGCCATGCTCCAACTTTTCTGAGGACACAGCAGCTCCAGCTCCTCTGAAATACACACCCTTGTATTTCTGCTACCAACTGTGACTGCTGCAGATGCAAACATTCACCCAAGCCATCCTCCAGAGCCAGCACACCCAGGTTTCCATCAGCCTCTGTCTCTGCTCTGCACCCATAGCTCCTGTGGGCACTGCAGCCCCGCTTCCCTGCTCTCAGGGCTGGGGCTGCTGTTAGCAAACAGCCAGCAGAGGCAGAGCCTGCCCCAGCTGTGCCTCACTCACCACCTCAGCAACCAGGGACTGCAGATAACGTCTCCCACCACGCAGTGTGACTAATGGCCAAATGTGAAACACCTGCACGTATATGTGTATTAAATTATTATCATCATCATTTCCTGCTTGTTATTACTAACTTTTGCTCTAACACCAGTATTATTGTTATTATTATTATTTTTTTTACTTCTCTTTTTAATTCACAAAACTGAAAATTACCAACGTGCTGAAAGAACAACGGACCTGTTTCTCCTTGTGCTTAAAGCAAACCCAAATGCACACATCTTGCAAGTTACTGTGGCTGAGAAGCCTTAACTGATCTTAGCATCAGAGCACGCCCTCCCAGGCGTTAAAACACACTGTCTTAAATCTCACTGCAGCTGGGGAGGATAAAAGAGGGTGCAGAACAGCCATCTCTGCAAGTCAGCCAACAGAGGAAAGTCACTCCACCCCATGCAGTCACACACCTGTCCCTCTGCCCCTAACCTTAACAGGGTGTAACTGCATCACCTAACAATGACCCTTAGCCCTCGTGCTCTGAAGTTAGGATCTATGCTGCTAAAGTGCACCAGCACAAGGCACACACTGTAGAAACCATCAGGCTGACTCAAGTGCTCCAGCAGCACACAGGGCACGTGTGAGAGCAAGGGGTGACAGCAGTGACACAGCAGCACCACGAGCAGAGCAGCTCGCTTTTCTGCTTCGCAGCTCCACAGCAGGCAGTTGGGGCTTGGCTTTGTTTTTTCCCTTTGATCAAGTCACCTACGCTGCACACTGCTTACAAACTGCTTTCATACCTCCCTGAGCACCGTTTGCATTTTTCTCAGGACGCTGTTGCCAACAAAACCTTCCAGCACAGCGCCACATATTGATACTCAAAGCTGTGGCTGAAGCCTCCTACACCCAGGGCAAGGCTTCAGGCAATGGAGAATAGGAACAATCAGAAAACTCAGCATAATGGAATGGTAATAGAAGAGGTGTAACAACAGAGGGACCAATGAAATAGAAAGGGGTTACAAGGGAAGGAAAAAAGGACTGCTCACCCACCCCCAAAGAGCTAGGAAGAAAAACTCTATGAAGAAGAGACCTCCAGAAAGAGAGCCTTCCCCAGGGGCAGTCAGCCCTTAAATGGGGGTCTAAGAGAGGTGCAGCCACACTCCACCCCTTCCAATCACAGGTAAATTGCCTTCATCTGTGCTCCCAGGGCTGACCAGGTCTTTCCCCAGGTGCTCCATCAGCAGTTCAGGCCAGGACTCAACAGTTCCCATACAACAACATTAGCACAGACCAGTAAAGCAGCACCAACAGCTCCATCCCAAGTCCCAGCCAACAGAAAAGGAACCAGCAGAAGAACTGTGTCAGCAGTGAGGGGGCAAGTTAAAAGCAGACAAGGAGCTCAGGAGGATTTGGTGCAGGCTGATTTTAACAGAATTTCCACCACTTCCCATAGGAAACTACTTCACAGCCCAATACATCTCTTGCTGTCAGCAAGTTTCCCTGATGGTTGAGCCGTATTTTTCTTCTCTTGAGCTTCCTCTAATAAGAGCCTAAATAGCTCCTCTCCTCCCCTTGGATGCCATTAGAGAGCTTTAATGACCACTCAGGAGCTTGCAGCTGAACTAAATTCAATGACAGCATCCCTTGTGTCAGGTAACTTGGCCAAAATTGAGGAAATCACTGCAGATTTACACCAAGATAATTGAGATCCGCAGCTTGCTGCAAGCTGTTAATAAATAGAGGGGAATCAGAGCCATTTGGTAAAATCCTTAATGACTTAACATCTTGATTCATCTCATTGTTTGCTCTTATTATTCCTGTCTTATGGTGAAAACACGTGTGGGGGAAGCAGAGCTTGTTTTGGGGCTTGATCAAGTACCAGCCAAAGCTATTAGACTCTTCAGTCATTTCTAAACATAATTAATATTTTAATTTCATTTCAACATCCATCCCTCCTCTTTTACAAGAGAATCTCTAAGAAAATAATTACCAAACTTAAAACTTTAAAAAGGGAACAACGCTTTGTCCTTATGATAAACTCTTGTGATACCCCTGTAGAAATTAGGAAAAAATTAAAAATACATATTAAATGAAGATGAGCTGTATCTATGGGATGTGTAAAGACCCTTTAAAAGGCTGCCTTACAGCGTTTAAGTGCTTTGTTGTTTTAAGTCTGGGGAAAAGGAAGCTGAATGAGACTCAGTGATTTCCCTGCAGCTCCCATCTCTCCCACGTTAGCACCCTGCACACCCATGGTATGACTGGGACAAAGCAGTTGGACAGCTTTCTGCATCCCTGTAAACCAGCAAGATTCCCTTCCCTTGGGGTTGGGTGGGCAGCCAGGAGCAGCATTAGCAACCTTATCAAAGTGTTCCTAACCTCAAATGTGGGAAGAAAGACTTGAAAAATGCAGAGGACACAATCGTCCTCCATGGGCTGCAGCACGGGCAGCTCCTGCCCCAGAGTTGCTTAGTGATACCGTTGTATTTTTCATCAAGCAATAATTTATCATCTTTGAGGGGGTGGAGAAAATAGCTCATGGAAATGACTTTGTTCCACAGGGTTTTAACCCTTGGTACCCTGGCACTTTCCAGGCTGCCTGCCAATTCAGTTCTCAGGGGAAAAAAGTGTTTGCTGATCTGTTGGCATGTTACAAACCCATTCAATTCATCAAACCCTGGCACCAGCTTAAAATAAAAGGAGCATCCCTAATGCAGGGATACAAGCGATAGGAAGAATCGCATTTCTCTTGCTGCCAACTAAGCACAAAATGTGCTCCCTAACAGATCGGCCACCTCCTGTCTCTGCTTCACATCAGGAGCTCCTACATTCATTACGCTCTTAAAACTTTGCAGTGTTCTCAGAGGTAACTGAAGGGAAGCCAGGCAGGGCAGTAAATAACACAGCCATGGGAAATAGAGAAATGCACTAAGTGCCCTTCTGCATCCTCAGTAAATAGTCAGAGGTTAAATGTGCTGCCTAAGCTCACACGAGGAAAGGGAGGCTGAGTGGCTGAGCCCTAAGGCACGACCATGGCTCCATGCAGTGGCTGCAATGGGACGAGCGTGGCACCACCAAACCCACAGGTCGTGCTGAGGAGAGTTTAGGTGGGATGCTGAAGCAGAGTGGCTGCTGCTTACAGTCACGCTGCTCCCTATTAGATCAGAGCTGCAGGAAGATGTGAATGGGTGGGGGGGGGTTAATTAGGTCATCTGTTATTCCACTCACGTATTTCCCTCTGTGAAATAATAGACCTACAGTACGGCAGTATGGGCCAGATCCTCAGCCAGGGCAAAGCAAAGGGGGAAAGAGTAGAGATTGAAAGCCCAGCTATGTTTGGTGTTTTGCTCCACACTCCCCATATGACCTGTAGAAGGATGCTTGGGACCAGCCTGCCCAAAGATGCTGGTGTTTCAAAAATCCCACTAGGCATTAAGTACTCAGCAGCTGTAGAAAGTTAAGAGAAACCAGAGTTTCTCTGTGCCTTCATATGTCAAACATAAAAAGGTGATGATAGCAGGGGGGTGCTTTCTGGTTTGGAGATGCACATGGCACCCTGCAGTTCAGGGCAGGAGCCATGCACAGTCCCAGTGCTGGGTGCACATAATACACAGCAGTCCTCTATGGAAATCTCACCCCCTGGGTTAGCAGGGCCATTCCCCGATGCAAACGTCTGGGTAGCCCTAAGTATCTGGCTTACCAGAAAATTGTTTACAGGACAGGCAGGGGTGAGGTCAAAACCCCAGCTGGATCAGAGGCAGCACGAACAGGGCTGTAACCAGGAAACAGCCCCGGACCCAGCCCACAGCCCCCAAAGGTGTCAGTTGACAGCACAGCATGGGAAGTTGATGGTAACTGTAATACCAAGAGAGTGGCTGCATGCAAAGCGAGGATTTAGAGGATAATGGGAAGGGGAAAGGCCTTGGCTGTGCTGCTCGGGGCCACACGGTGCCTGCTGGCCCTTTTTTGCCTGCGAGAGGGCTGCAGGATTTTGCCCATCCCAAGGAGCAGCAGCAGCACAGCTGCACATTGCTGTGGCTGCCAAACTCAGGGCTCCTGACTCCGATTCCTTGCATAGACAAACATGCAAAATGCTCACCTGCGGCATTTTCTGCCCTTTGAGGATACCATTGCTATTGGAAAACATTCAGAGCTGAGGCAACAAATTCCACATAGCATCCCTCCAAAGACAGAAAGCAGCCCTCTCTGGGGGGACTGGTCAACCTGCCCGCTCCCTATCTGTGCACCCAGCTGTGCTGGAGGGGCTGAGGGAGCATCAGGGCCTGGGCACCTCGCTGGTCTCCTGCCCCATAGCGAGCACAAGCAAACCCCCACCCCACAACCAAAGCCTCCTCTCAAGAAATAGAAGGAACTGCAAATGTAATCCACTATAAGAATGCCAGGGCACAGCCTGCTACCTAGATGAGGGAAACAATACTGTTCTCCTAAGCACACATATCAACTTGATATTCTCTCTATATATGAAATTGAAAAGGATTTTTAAAGGGAAGCATCAGCTCAGACATTCGTAAGACACTGCAGACCTATTAGCAAACACGCGAATCAGCCACTGGGTGAAACTGGGAATGGAGGAAAAGAGTAAATGCCCAGCAAAACAAACCTTCCATCTATCCTGGAAACGAACACAGGTACCTACAGCCCACAACAGCCTTTAAAGAGACTCTCTCCCCATCACCACTTACTACTTATCTGGAAGACCAAGGAAAAAGCTTATGTCCTCCACGGCTCCCCACACTTGTCTCCGGTCTCTCTCCAACTACCTGGTGCTATCCTCTGCGCCGGAGCTGGGGAGGATGGAAATACCATAGTGTTTGCAGCAGGGCCGCCTATTCAAAGGGAGGGGGAGTGGTCAGCCCCGCACAGGCGGTGGGGAGGCGAGCCCCCCGCGCTCCGCTCTCGCTGGCAGATGTCGCACTGTGACCCTCACCACGGGGTGTGAGCCTTATCGAGCCCATTCCCAAAGCTCTGCTGGGCTGCCCCAGCTTCGAGGTGCCTGCTGCCAAAAATTGCTTTTTCTTCCTCAAAAGCCCCCTGGGCGCCTCTGGGTTTTCTGCTCCTTTGCGCACAGCAGGCACCGCGGTGCATTTGGATGCCCACCTCTCCCCCAGGCATTGGCAGGGTCCAGCCGCCAGGCTCCCACTGCCCATTTGCAAACCCGTCGGTGCACGCCTGCTTTCTTTTACAAGCACAAAGGCTGCAGTGGTCTCCCTTTCACAGGGTACCATCGTAGGGAGAGCACTCAGTCAGAGCTGGCTCAGCCCTTGCTGCTGGAGGCCCCACTGCAGCACCATGGGCTGCTTTGCCCCAGAATGCAGGGGTGCGTGGTGGCTGCAAGGCTGCAGTGTGCAGGGCTGCAGTGTGCAAGGCTGCTAGAAAAGCAGGGAAATGCTCTCCCTGAGCATGGAAAGAGATGGGGACAGAAACAAAAGGCTGCTGCATGCTCAGTCCTAAAATGTGGAATTAAGTTCCTCATTCTGTCCAAACAGCCCTGCAGCACGCAGCCCAGAACTACGCGGCCCTGGATGCGGGAGGATGTGCCCGCCTTGCAAAGCTGCCTTTTCCTCCAGGAGAGGGCTCCAGGCTGGAAATGTGCTGCACTCCAGCACATGTCCCTGCCACCAGGAGCTGTCAGTCTGCAGAAAGTTTGCAGCATCTTCACAACGAAACAAAACTGCAGTGTGTGCATCTAAGAGCTACGGCTGGAAGGGCAGAGTAAAGCATTGGTCAGGCCCAGGGAAAGAATTAATTCTCCCAGTTTATAACCTGGCATTTTGGCTACTCCCAGCTGAGTGGCTACTTAAAAAGCATAGGCTGAAACTATATTATATCAGACACATAATTTCTGTCTGCACTGACTTCTGTGGCATCTACTGCTGCCAAATGCCCTGCAGAGAAATCAAAGTACAAAGCTGCAGTGCATGAAGGACCCTCCTGCCCCTCACCTCCCAGCCCAGCAGAACCTGGTCGCTCAAACGCACATAGTGACAAGTAGCCACAAAGACTTCCCCCCCAAAACACCAATATTTATGCACGTAAAAGGTATTAACAAGTCCTTCGAGGGTTTTCCCTAGCTCCTAAGAGAAGAATGAAGCTCTGTGTCAGCCCTTGCCTTCGCTCAGAAGCACACAGCTGCAGGTGGCATGAGTACACGTTACCTGCTGAACTCGCAGCCGTAAGGCACGGATCTCTTGTGTAGCTATTTTAACTCAGGAAATTATTTACAGGGCTCCATCTTCTCAGGAAGGTTTCCAGCCTGCTGGGCTTTGGTACAAAGGCTCGGTCACGTCTGAGCGCCAAAGGAGTGGAATGCATCCAGCAATCAATTTTTATCTGGGCAACTCTTCCCAAGGCTGCAGGATAACCCCACGGGCATCTGTGAGCAAGATGTCTTTCTTTCCCTAGGCTGGATGCTGTGCTCTGTGGCAGGGAGCCTTTCCAATACAGTAATCTATGTATTAATTGCCTCTCCATTATGGCTGTCCAATCGACTGTGTGTCTGCAAAATAGAGAGGCTTCTGGTTTGAGCTCCTACAAGGCAGCACAGTGCCTGCTGTGTGCAGATCACCTCACTGGTTTTGGGGTTACTGCTGCTTCAGCCACCTGGATCCATTGCTGCAGCCAGCAGCAAGAAGTTGGGTTAAATTTAGGGCAGTTCATTCAGCTTATAAAGCCATAGTGCATAAAGAAGTAGTTTCCATTCCAGATGGTTTGAATTTTCTTCGTACTCATAAATAAATAAATAAATAAATACATAAAGATTCATTAGTGTCTAATTAAAGCAGTTATTACTGCTTTTACCAAATCTGAAATGTCCCGTGGATGGTTCAAAGGCTGTGCACAGGTTGAATTTAGGGCACACAAATGACCTCTGTGCTCCTGGGAGGTGCTGGATGTACGTGTCAGCACACACAGCCCCGCTCCCAGTATGCTGAGAAATGCTTATCTCCATTTTGCAGTCAGAGGAATGGATGGAGAATGGGGTTAGCATCACTTCAAAGATGGCTGTGAGCAGGGAAAGTCGTGGCTTGAGCCCTGGAGCTGGAGAATGAGCTCTGCTTACCTAGAAAAATCCATCCCAACCAGAGTGCCCTGATTGCACTGAATGTCATCATCCATGATTCACCCCCACAGCCCCTGGGTTTCTTGACAGATCCTTTGAACCTGAGGTCCTCCTGAGGGTCATAAGCCAAGGTGGGCTGCGTGCAATGAACTTCCAAGTCACTTGTTGGATCTATAAACATCATCATCTCTGTACTACAGCAGGAAAACAGAGCAGGAACTGATAAAACAACCCTGAGTGCTGAGGTGGTCTGCTCTTAGCTGGCATCACACGGTGACCCAGCAGAAGGGAGCAATGTTGGGGAGCTGTGGCCTGAGGGGTGACTTCCCCACCCCTCTTTGTGCTGGGACAAGGTGATGTGGCCAGACCAGGGTTCTGCCTGTGCTCATAAATGTTCCAGTGGGTTTGCCCAGGCTACAGCATTCCCTCCTGACCCTCCTGGAACTCCAGATGAAGACACGTAGCTGTGCCACAGATGGCCCAGCAATGGTCCCTTAGGAGCCGTGCACATCTGGCTGCCAGGTGCTGAGGCTTTCCGTTGCTGGCTGCCCTCAAACACGAAGCAGAGGCACAGCCAGAGCTCATTGCTTCTGGCCCTGCTGCACTGGGGTGAGGATCCCACTCACTGCTCCAGGGGTGTGGACCACAGATGCTGTGCCCTGCCCCAGACTGGGGGAAATACTTGGCCCCGAAAGCCAGAGAGCAAAGCTTGCCTATCCTTGGGTCAAGCAAGAGCTCAGGTCTGTTGTCTTGGATACAAGGAGATGGATACAGGATGTATGTCTGGGTGGGACACCATGCCTTGCAAAAATTCCTTCATTCTGCTTTGAGTTTTCATTTTTAGCACGATCTCCCTCTCTACATGTGACTATAAATACAGGTATGTATCTATGTATGATAAAACCAGAAATAACATCCAGTCCCATCCATCTTTTCATTCTGGAAGAGGAAGTGAGAAATTTCCACTCAGCTCTAAGTGTGATGTGAAGCAACATCTCTAGGGAAGTTGTAGCCATAACAGTGCCAGTCTGCACCCTTCGTATGCACATGGGCATTTTTTGCCTTGTAAGCACAAAGAGTAATCAGTTCTCTAAGAGCTGGCATAAATGTTATCATTGTAACCTCCTTTGTGCAGGTGCCTGCCCCTCTCCCACCATTAAGTGACACAGCAGGTAGGTGCTCTGGAGCCCCCAAACGCCAAGGCGTGAAGATGTATCCATTATCAGTTATGGAAATGTATCTGGAAAATCTGCTGTCACTTGCCAGTTCTCATGTCAAGAATTAGGGCTGTTGATTGGGAGGGGAATCTTTTATTAAGCTATCTGATGTACCTGGAGAAAAACAGATCGGGTTGTGTGATGAGTGCCCCTCTTCAAATGTGTGAATGAAAATCCTCACTCCAAATCATTTCATGCAGGGCCGCTCTTCTCCCAGGCAGATGTATCAACAAAGATCAGATTTACAAAATGCCATCAGCTAACAATCCCTGCTCGAAATCTGGGCAGATCTCCAGATGGATTCAGCAGCCAGTTGATTAGTTGGTCTTTATTACTCAACTTGCTATTAGCAAGGGGGCAAATACTGAGGTTTTTCTTTTATTTTATCCAATAAAATGTTTCCTGCATAGTGCACCACTAACATTCAAACCATCAGTAAAGATGCTGGCATCCTTACCAGGGGTGGCAATCATAAGCAGCAGTGCCGTGCATGCAGCAATGGGGCCAACACAGAAGGACATACAGCTCACCAATACTTGTTGCTACAGAAGGAAGAAGGACCAAACGGTAGCAGAAATGTGAGGCTTGGTTTCATGGAAATGAGTTATTAACCTATCCTTTACCTCTCTGTTTGTTTCCCATCTGGTTCCAGGTCAAGGAAAGTTTGTCTGTGACGTTGGGAAGAGATGGGCTGAGCACAGCTGTGCCTCTTAGATGTAATTCCTGAGCCTGGGCTCCTGCTGTGCCCTCCGTCCCTGCTGGGGACACGGTTGGCATTGCTGGGGGCCTCTGCTGGGAGGGCACCCCATGCTATGGCAGGAGGACGGCCCAGCCCTTACAGGCAGCTGTAACGCACAGTCACCTTGCAGGCTGTTAATGGAGGGGTTATTTATGGCCCCTCTCTGGATCGCAGTGCTGGGTCCCACATGTGAAGTGAAAGTGGAAGTGTGTGGGTGGGAGGGGAAGCAGCAGCGTCTCATTTATCAGCAGGGCTGAGCAGGTTTCCACCCAGACACGGGCTCCACATCTCCCGGGGCGTTTCTCCAGCTGCTGCTGGAGCTCATCTGGGCTCCAGAGCCTAGAGCTAGATGCAGGATCCTATTGCACTGTGGTGCAATGAGAAGCATCCCTGTGCAATTTGGATGCAGGCAGAGGATCAGCAGTCAGACCACACTCACATTGCTCCATCATCACCTGCAGCATCGCGTGACCCCAACGGCATGAGCACCCGTCCTGCTGGGAACCAGAGGTGCATCAACTTCCCCCAAGTTAGCAGACCCAAAAAGGCTCCTCCAGAGGCTGCCCCAGCACATGCAGAGCTCCATGGAAGCAGGCAGGAGCCCGCTAGCTTGGAGCAGAGCAAGGGGCTGATGGGGAAAGGTCACAGCAGGGTTAGCACTGAGTAGCAAACCATCCTATTTTATGCAAAAAGCAGTCTGGAGAAACTGACATTCTTGATTGTCTGCATATATAATATAGAGGATGCTAAATAAAGGAGCCAAAGATGTTCCTATGA